GGGGACATCGGGGACACTGGGGACATTGGGGACACTGGGGGCATTGAGGGCTTGGGGACATCAGGGACATCGGGGACATTGAGGGGACACTGGGGACATCGGGGACACTGGGGACATTGGGGGCTTGGGGACATCGGGGACATTGAGGGGACACTGGGGACATTGGGGACACTGGGGACATCGGGGACATTGAGGGGACACTGAGGGCATTGGGGACATTGGGGGCATTGAGGGCTTGGGGACATCAGGGGACATTTGGGGGACACTGGGGACGTTAGGGCACATTAAGGGACACTGGAGGGGGTTTGGGGACACCAGGGGTGATGTGGGAGACTTTGGGGTAACCAGGAGGTTTGGGGACATTTTGGGGTCAGGGGACAGCAGGGGACACTGAGGGGTGTTCTGGGGACACACTGGGGAGTTTTGGGGACACTCTGGGGTGTTTTGGGGACACTGGGGTGTTTTGGGGACACTCTGGGGGGTTTTGGGGACACTCTGGAGGTGTTGGGGACACTCTGGGGTGTTCTGGGGACACTGGGGGAGTTTTGGGGACACTCTGGGGGTGCTGGGGACACTCTGGGGGTGCTGGGGACACTCTGGAGGTGTTCGGGACACTCTGGGGAGTTTTGGGGACACTGGGGTGTTTTGGGGACACTCTGGGGGGTTTTGGGGACACTGGAGGTGTTTGGGACACTCTGGAGGTGTTGGGGACACTCTGGGGTGTTCTGGGGACACTCTGGGAGTTTTGGGGACACTCTGGGGGTGCTGGGGACACTCTGGAGGTGTTCGGGACACTCTGGGGAGTTTTGGGGACACTGGAGGTGTTTGGGACACTCTGGAGGTGTTGGGGACACTCTGGGGTGTTCTGGGGACACTCTGGGGTGTTCTGGGGACACTCTGGGAGTTTTGGGGACACTGGGGGGAGTTTTGGGGACACGCCACCTCTTTGGGGGTGAGCTTGCGGCCGGTCTCGTCCACGTACTCGATCTTGACGTCGGGCCGGTAGCCGTCCTTCTCCTTGAAATCCTGCGTGAAGCCCCGGAACTCCTCCCGGCGGCTGTACTTGTCATCGATGGCCCTGGGGACACGGGACAGTGTTGGGGACATTGGGGACATCATTGGGGACATTGGGGACATCATTGGGGACATCACTGGGTACAGCTCCTGGTGGCTGTACTGGTCATCGATGGCCCTGGGGACACGGGACAGTGCTGGGGACATTGGGGACATCATTGGGGACACTGGGGACATCATTGGGGACACTGGGGACATCATTGGGTACAGCTCCTGGTGGCTGTACTTGTCATCGATGGCCCTGGGGACATGGGGACATTGTTGGGGACATTGGGGACATCATTGGGGACATCACTGGGGACATCACTGAGGTACAGCTCCTGGTGGCTGTACTTGTCATCGATGGCCCTGGGGACATGGGGACATTGTTGGGGACATCGTTGGGACATTGGGGACATCATTGGGGACACTGGGGACATCATTGGGGACACTGGGGACATCACTGGGTACAGCTCCTGGCAGCTGTACTGGTCATTGATGGCCCTGGGGACACGGGGACATTGTTGGGGACATTGGGGACATCACTGGGGACATTGGGGACATCATTGGGGACATCACTGGGTACAGCTCCTGGTGGCCGTACTGGTCATTGATGGCCCTGGGGACACTGGGGACATCACTGGGGACATCACTGGGTTACAGCTCCTGGTGGCTGTACTTGTCATCGATGGTCCTGAGGACATGGGGACAGTGCTGGGGACATTGGGGACATCACTGGGTTACAGCTCCTGGTGGCTGTACTGGTCATTGATGGCCCTGGGGACACGGGGACATTGTTGGGGACATTGGGGACATCACTGGGGACACTGGGGACCTGCTCCTGGCAGCTGGACTTGTCATCAATGGCCCTGGGGACACTGGGGACACAACTGGGGACATCACTGGGGTACAGCTCCTGGTGGCTGTACTGGTCATTGATGGCCCTGGGGACACTGGGGATAACGGGGACATTGGGGGGCTCAGGGTGACAGAGCAGGTGACACGAGGGATGACACAGGTGACACCCAGGTGACATTGAGAGGACACTGAGGTGACACTGAGGGGACACTCACATCTTGTCCTCGATGCAGCACACGGCCGAGGGCAGGGATGGGGGGTTGGAGGTTTGTGGGGGTGACACCGAGGGGACACCGAGGTGCCACAGGTGCCACAGGTGACACCGAGGTGACACCGAGGGGACACAGGGGACACTCACATCTTGTCCTCAATGCAGCACACGGCTGAGGGCAGGGATGGGGAGGATGGAGGTTTGTGGGGGTGACACAGGGGACACTGAGGTGACACCGAGGGGACACAGGTGACATCGAGGTGACACCGAGGGGACCCAGGGGACACTCACATCTTGTCCTCGATGCAGTACACGGCCGAGGGCAGGGATGGGAGGGATGGAGGTTTGTGGGGGTGACACAGGTGACACCGAGGTGACACAGGTGACACCGAGGTGACACCGAGGTGACACAGGTGACATCGAGGTGACACCGAGGGGACCCAGGGGACACTCACATCTTGTCCTCGATGCAGTACACGGCCGAGGGCAGGGATTTGTTCGGGGCTTTCACTCGCGCCACTTTCTGCACCGTGGTCTCCAACAGCCCTGGGGACACNATCACTGGGGACATTGGGGACATCATTGGGGACATCACTGGGTACAGCTCCTGGTGGCCGTACTGGTCATTGATGGCCCTGGGGACACTGGGGACATCACTGGGGACATCACTGGGTTACAGCTCCTGGTGGCTGTACTTGTCATCGATGGTCCTGAGGACATGGGGACAGTGCTGGGGACATTGGGGACATCACTGGGTTACAGCTCCTGGTGGCTGTACTGGTCATTGATGGCCCTGGGGACACGGGGACATTGTTGGGGACATTGGGGACATCACTGGGGACACTGGGGACCTGCTCCTGGCAGCTGGACTTGTCATCAATGGCCCTGGGGACACTGGGGACACAACTGGGGACATCACTGGGGTACAGCTCCTGGTGGCTGTACTGGTCATTGATGGCCCTGGGGACACTGGGGATAACGGGGACATTGGGGGGCTCAGGGTGACAGAGCAGGTGACACGAGGGATGACACAGGTGACACCCAGGTGACATTGAGAGGACACTGAGGTGACACTGAGGGGACACTCACATCTTGTCCTCGATGCAGCACACGGCCGAGGGCAGGGATGGGGGGTTGGAGGTTTGTGGGGGTGACACCGAGGGGACACCGAGGTGCCACAGGTGCCACAGGTGACACCGAGGTGACACCGAGGGGACACAGGGGACACTCACATCTTGTCCTCAATGCAGCACACGGCTGAGGGCAGGGATGGGGAGGATGGAGGTTTGTGGGGGTGACACAGGGGACACTGAGGTGACACCGAGGGGACACAGGTGACATCGAGGTGACACCGAGGGGACCCAGGGGACACTCACATCTTGTCCTCGATGCAGTACACGGCCGAGGGCAGGGATGGGAGGGATGGAGGTTTGTGGGGGTGACACAGGTGACACCGAGGTGACACAGGTGACACCGAGGTGACACCGAGGTGACACAGGTGACATCGAGGTGACACCGAGGGGACCCAGGGGACACTCACATCTTGTCCTCGATGCAGTACACGGCCGAGGGCAGGGATTTGTTCGGGGCTTTCACTCGCGCCACTTTCTGCACCGTGGTCTCCAACAGCCCTGGGGACACGGAGGGACACGGGGGGGATGTGAGACCCCACAGTGACCCCCAAAACCTCACAGGGAACCCCAAAACCTCACGGGGAACCCCAAAACCTCACAGCAATCCCCAAAAACTTCACAGAACCCCAAAAACTTCACAGCAACCCCCAAAACTTCACAGCAACTCCCAAAACTTCACAGCAACTCCCAAAACTTCACAGCAACCCCCAAAACCTCACAGCGACCCCCAAAACCTCACAGTGATTCCCAAAACCTCACAGGGAACCCCAAAACTTCACAGAACCCCAAAAACTTCACAGCGACCCCCAAAACCTCACAGGGAACCCCAAAACCTCACAGCAACCCCCAAAACTTCACAGCAACCCCCAAAACCTCACAGTGATCCCCAAAACCTCACGGCAATCCCCAAAAACTTCACAGCAACCCCAAAAACTTCACAGCAACCCCCAAAACCCCACAGTGACCCCTGAAACCTCACAGTGACCCCTGAAACCTCACAGTGACCCCCCAAAACCCCACAGAACCCCCAAAACTTCACAGCAACCCCCAAAACTTCATAGTGACCCCCAAAACCCCACAGTGATCCCCCAAACCCCCTCCAACAGACCCCAAACCCCCATCATGACCCCAAACCCCCCGTACAAACCCTAATCCCACAAAGAGGATCCCAAACCCCCCCGCCCAAAAAACCCCAAACCCCTCAAACCCCCCCCAGACCCCAAACCCCTCAAAAAGGACCCCAAACCTCCTTTCAAAGAGTCCAAACCCCCCAAAAGAATCCCAAAACCCCCCAAAACCCTCCTGAGGACCCCAAACCCCGCTGTAAGAACCCCAAACTCCCCCAACGGACCCCAAACCCTACTGGGAGTACCCCAAAACCCCCATAATGACCCCAAACCCCTCCAAGCCCCCTCAGACAGACCCCAAACACCCATAGGGACCCCAAAACCCTCATAGGGACCCCAAACCCCACCGGAAGGACCCCAAAAGCCCCAAATTTCCCCCAAATCCTGACCTTTGTTCTGGCACAGCAGCAGCGCCGCCGCCAGGCCCCGGTTCACGATGGGCTCCTCGTCCAGGATCGTGGTGGACGAGGCTGAAAACTGAAAAAAAGGGGGGGGTCAGGGGCACCCCAAAATCGGGGAACCCCAAAACAACCCCCCAGGGTCCCTAAAAGGGAGTTTGGGGTGGTTGGGTTTGGGGTGAGCCAGTTTTGGGGTGCCTCTTTTATGGGATCTCCCAATTTTCGGGTCTCACTTTTTGGGGCTCCTTGGTTTTTTNGGAAGGACCCCAAAAGCCCCAAATTTCCCCCAAATCCTGACCTTTGTTCTGGCACAGCAGCAGCGCCGCCGCCAGGCCCCGGTTCACGATGGGCTCCTCGTCCAGGATCGTGGTGGACGAGGCTGAAAACTGAAAAAAAGGGGGGGGTCAGGGGCACCCCAAAATCGGGGAACCCCAAAACAACCCCCCAGGGTCCCTAAAAGGGAGTTTGGGGTGGTTGGGTTTGGGGTGAGCCAGTTTTGGGGTGCCTCTTTTATGGGATCTCCCAATTTTCGGGTCTCACTTTTTGGGGCTCCTTGGTTTTTTTTTTAGGGGTCTGTGGCCCCTAAATTTTGGGGTTTTTCCCTGATTTTGGGGTTTTCCCCCACACTTTGGGATCCCTCATTTATGAGTTTTCCCCATTTTGGGATCCCATTTTTATCCTCCTCTCTTTGTTTTAAAAGATTCCAATTTCTTCCCCAAATCTTAAGCTCTCTCCCATTTTTGGGGTCCCTTATCCTATTTTCAGGGTCCCCAAACCCATTCTCAGGGTGCTTCCCCCATTTCTGGGGTCACCCAGCCCATTTTTGGGGTGCCCATCCCATTTTCAGGGTTCCCCATCCTGTTTTTGGGGTCCACCAGCCCATTTTAGGGTGTTTCTCCCCATTTTTGGGGACCCCTAGCCCATTTAAGGGTGTTTCTCTCTGTTTCTGGGCTCCCCCATCCCATTTTTGGGGTTCCTATCCCATTTTTGGGGTTCCTATCCCATTTTTGGGGTTTCTATCCCATTTCCGGAGTTCCTATCCCATTTTCAGTGTCTCCTGTCCCATTTCTGGGTCCCCCAGCCTGTTTTTGGGGT